AGTGCTACGCCTGCTCGGCTTTGCGACTCTGACGCGCGTAGTGCCCTGACCTCTTGCGGACCCCCCCCCGGTGCAGAGACCGTGCCACGCTACCTTTGCGGCGGTGGCGCGCGTGGCGTCCCCCCTGCCCCCGCGTACCCCGCCTGGCGTCGAGAAAATGCAACGCTTGCTAGGCTTTGCGGCAGTGGCGCGCATGGCGCCCCCCCTCCCCTACCCCCTCCGCGGACGCCCCCTGGTGTCGACAATGTGTGCCGCGCCTGCCAGCCTTTGCGACATAGCGCGCATGGCGCCCCCCCCCCCCCCCCCCCCCACACCCGCGGGCCCCGTCTGTTCTCGAGAAAGTGGAACGCCTGCTAGGCTTTGCGGCAGTGGCGGTCGTGGCGCCCCCCCTCTCCCGCGGACCCTCTCTGGTGTTGAGAAGTGGATGCGCTTGCTAAGCTTTGCGACAATGGCGCGCATGGCGCCCCCACCCCCTGTGGACACCCTTCTGGCGTCGAGACAGTGCCACGCCTTTTTAAGTTTTGCGACAGTGGCGCGCATAGCACCCCCACCCGTTGCGGACCCCCTTCTGGCGTCGATGAAGTGCCACGTTTGCTAGGTTTTGCGGAATGGCGCGCGTAGCGTTCCCCACCCCCTGCGGACCCCTTCTGGCGCTTCGAAATTGCCACGCCTGCTAGGCTTTGCGACAATGGCGCGCGCAGCGCCCCACCTCGTGCGGATCCCGTCCTGACGCCGAGGCAGTGCCACGCGCGCTAGGTTTTGCGACAGCTGCGCGCGCAACGCCCCCACCCAGTGCAGACCCTGTCATGGCGTCGAGTAAGTGCCACGTCTGCTTGGCTATGCGATAATGGCGCGCGTAGCGCCCCACCCCGTGCGGATCCCGTCCTGGCGCCGAGGCAGTGCCACGCGTGCTAGGTTTTGCGACAACTGCGCGCGCAGCGCCCCCACCCAGTGCAGACCTTGTCATGGTGTCGAGCAAGTGCCACGCCTGCTTGGCTTTGCGATGATGGCGCGCGTAGCGCCACGCCTGCCACGCCTTGCGAGTCTGCAACGGATAGCACCACCACCCCTTGCGGACCGCCTCTTGCGTCGAGAAAATGCCACGCCTGCCACGCTCTGCGGACCTGAGACGGATAACCTCCGTGGTGAGGGACCACCCCTTGCGCACTCCCTGTGCTGTGGAGAGGGTGCCACGCATGCCACGCCCCGTGACTTTGAGACGGATAGAGACCTCGGCGAGGGATCCCCTTTGCGCACCCTTTGTGGCGTGGAGAAGGTACCACGATTGAATCGCCACGCCCCGCGACCCTTGAAACGGATAGAGACCGCGGTTAGGACCACCCCGTGCGCACCCCCTGTGGTGTGGAGACAGTGCCACGCTTGCCACGCCCCGCGACCTTGAGATGGATTTGGGTCGTTGGTCAGGGACCACCCTGTGCGCACCCTCTGCGGTGCGGAGAAAGTGCCACGCCTGCACCGCCCCGCGACTTGGATACGGATAGAAACCGTGGTGAGGGACCCCCCCCGCGCACACCCTGTGGCGTCGAGACAGCACCACGCTCGCCACGCCTTACGACCTTGTCCCGTATGTGTTGTGCGGTGTGCGTCTCATGTGAGTGACCTTGTATGTGCTTGCGTGTCCTCTGCATGTATAAGATGTGTGTGTGTGGATGTATGTGGACGTGTGCATCATGTGAGTAGAATGTGCATGCATGTGTTGCATGCGCCTGTCGTGTAGGATTCATTGCAGACGCCATGAGTACACTGTATGCTGTGTGTGTGCGCCTAGTGTGTGTGTGTGCGTCTGTGTGATGTATGTGTGCGTATGTCTGGTGAGTGCACGAACGAGAAGGGGGAGGATGAGAAGGGGCGAGGTTGGTGTGGGGGACGCGGGCGCGACGCGGGTGCAGAGAAATCAAAAACACCATTCGTAATGTGAGGGGTAAGATTCAATTGCGAGGAATCGTCGCAATCTGGAAGTGATGGTGTGATTGATCAAGGCTGTTGTGAATCAAACAAGAGTCATATACTTCATACGCGTAGTAACATTATGACACTCAAGATGCTAATAGTGTAATGGAGATAAGAGGGCTACGCATACCTCGAGGAAGGATAGCGCAACTTTAGAACACGTGCAAAGGGAAGAAGACCACACGCAGAGGCCCTCGGCCTGCGCGACCTGCGGGGCCTCGGCGGCGGGCTGGAGGTGCGGACCGCGTCGTGGCGCGCGGGCGAGGAGCGAGCGCCCCTCGGGGGGGGGGCACCCCTTTTGGGGGCGGCGGCGACGGCGCGCGGGCGGCACCGTCAGGCTCCTCGTCATCGTCCTTCGGGGCCGAGCGTTTGAGGTTCGAGGTTCGAGGTTTGAGGTTCGGGGTCAAACGTTTGAGGTTCGAGGTTCGAGGTTTTCCAGGCTGGAGGCTTTTGGGAGTCTTCGTCTGCTCTCGGCGGCTGTCCAGCCTCGGGATGCGCTCCGGCAGCCGCGCCTCGCCGAGAGCGTTCAACCCCCGGGTGCCCGGACATCGTGCCGCGCGGCCGCCTCTGAGAGCCGAGTGTAATGACCCGAGAGGCAAGGGGCCACGTCGGGGAGGGATAGGTTCCGGGGGGGGACGCATCGACCCCCTGTCGCCCATTCCTCGCCGCCATCTAGGCCTCCCAGATGGGGTCCGAGCAGGTGGGGTCGGAGGATCGCGCCGCATCGCCGATGCATCGCCGATACGATTCGATGCGGAGCCCGATTTTCTTCACGCGGACGTCGCCGATGGGTCGCCGACGTCGCCAGTGAGTGCATGGCCGACGCATCGCCGATGCATCGGCGATGCATCGCCGATGTGTCGGTGATGCGGCGAGATCCTCCGACCCCATCTACTTGGACCCCATCTAGGAGGCCTCTTCGCTAGGGGCCGGATCGCCCACCCCGCCCAGGAATGCTTCGGTTGCGCTGCCGGGTGCCTGTCGCCGACCTGTCGGCGATGTACCGCCGATTCCAGGTCGATGCTCCTCAGTCCTCGTCATCGTCGTCGGCGCCTTCTCATGACCCATGCGGCGAGAGGAGACGGACGACGGCGAGAGGAGACAGACGACGGACTCATGACTCATCATCGTCGACGGCGAGGGGAGACGGACGATCCTCCTTCTCCGGGCCTTCGGAGAGCGCCTCCTCTTTCCGCTGGTCCACTCCTCGTCCTCCCTCCGTCCTCGCTGTCCTCCTCCTCGTCCTTCTCTCGCCCTCGTCGTCCTCCTCTCCGAGGAAGCGGGGGACGGGGAGAAGGAGGAAGATCGAGGATCGAGGATCGATGATCCAGGTTCCTCCTCCTCTTCCTCCTTCTCCTCTTCGTCCTCCTCCTCCTCTTTCTCCTTCTCCTCCTCCTCCTCCTCCTCCTCTATCCTCGCTCGAACAGGATGCTCGGTGGCCATCTGGCTCAAGCACCAGCGCGAACATACATACATGTTATAGATATTGAAAAGCTCCGCTTCCATCGTGTTGCCGCCATGTTGTCTTTCTCGCCCCCAAATCCTCGCAATGTCAGTTGGTAGTGGAGCATGGAGCTTCCCCAGCTCGCGATCTACGGTAGACGCGCAACATGCGACATTGGTGTAGGTGTAAGCCGAACCGAGGCACCGATGCTTCGGCCCCCCTCACCGTCACAACCTCATGGTAATGGCAGTGGGGCGCAGGCATCGGCGCTATATTGCACGAGAGGGCCAGCATCTGGTCACGGATTGAGCGCGTTGGTGCTGGCCTGCCTCTTCGCGAGCTCGCTGCGCACTCCGAGTGGCTTCAAGCCTGCCAACGTACCTGCTTCACCACCTTTGTGCATCAGAAAGGGTTCCAGTATGTTTAATAGTAGTAGGAGTAGTAGTGGTAGTAGTAGTAGTAGTAGTAGTAGTAGTAGTAGTAGTAGTAGTAGTAGCCGTTGCAATCGTACTAGTAGTAGCAGCAGCAGTAGTAGTACTACCACTACTACAATTATTACTACGACTTTTTTATTACTGTTACTGTTTGTCACTACTACTACTATTGCAGTTACTACTGCTATGATTATATCGATGACGACGACTGACGACTACATTGCTACTACTACTATTACTACTACTACTACTGCTACTACTACAACTACTATGACTGCGATAGGTACTACTACTACTGCTACTACTACTACTACTACTACTACTTCGACCGCGACTGTGACGACTGCTACTATTACATTTATGAATATTTCTACTACTGCCACTACCACTGCCACTGTTACTAGTCTAGTACTCCTGTTACTACATCTACCATTATTTCCACTATCGCTACTACGATCACTACTGCTACTACTACTGCTGGTAGTAGTAGTAGTAGTAGTAGTAGTAGTAGTAGTAGTGGTAGTAGTCGTAATAGTAGTAGCGGTCGTACTCGTAGTAGTAGTAGTAGTAGTAGTAGCAGCAGTGCTAGTACTAGTAGTCGTCGTATTCATAGTAGTCGTAGTAGTAGTATTCGTAGTCGTAGTAGTACTAGTACTAGTAGTAGTAATAGTAGTAGTAGAACTAGTCGTAGTAGTAGTAGTAGTAGTAGTAGTAGTTGTAGTAGTGGTCGTAGTCGTAGTCGTAGTGGTAGTAGTAGTAGTAGTCGTAGTAGTAGTGGTAGTAGTAGTAGTAGTAGTAGTAGTAGTAGTAGTAGTAATAGTAGTCGTAGAAGTAGTAGTAGCACCTATCGCAGTCATAGTAGTAGTACTAGTAGTAGTAGTAGTGGTAGTAGTAGTAGTAGTAGTCGTAGTAATAGTAGTCGTATTAGTAGTAGTAGTCGTAGTAGTCGTAGTAGTCGTAGTAGTAGTAGTAGTAGTAGTAGTAGCAGTAGTAGTAGTAGTAGCAGTGGTACTATTACTATCACCACTACTCGTAACATTTGTAGTACTACTGCTACGACTGCTACTGTCACTACCACTACTATTTTGACGACAACGACGACGACTACTACTCCTAATGCTACTATCACTACTACTACTACTACTACTACT